AGAGAGAGAGAGAGTGTGAGAATGAGGATGAGGATGAGGATGTATTGGACAAGATCTCGCGGAGATTATGCTATAGAAATTAATAGACGAAGAATGATATGGTGCGTGAGATTTTAAGTAAAAGGAAAAAAAAAACAGAAAAAAGTATGAATGCGAGTAGTTGATCAACAGGTACACACAATAGCGTTAAGTCGTTAAATTGAAAGAGGCTGCTGGACACGACGGGATTTCACATTTTCACGATTATTCATGGACAACGATGCATGGAGAAAATGGGGGAGAGGAGCGAAGAGGGAGAAAGGAAGATCCGTCTAATCCGGGCTATTAACACCGCAAAGGCCAGCGGTCGACAGCCGGATTAGCCGCGCGATTTTCATCCGATCCCGCATTTCCATCACCGCGAAAAGGCGTCATCGTGTGTCAATGGAGTAATGGCGTACATGTGAAGCTTGTGTTAAAACCGATGAAGTACCGTACGTACCAGTAGGACACACATCAGTACACACAGAAAACAGAGAGAGAGAAAGAAACACACATATGATGGTGGAAATCAATGATCATCCGGGAGGAGAGAAATTATTATATGTACGCTGCTAATGACATGTAAACGGAGGATAATTTGTACATTCCATATTAAGTTCGTTCAGTAAAGGCGAGCGGGCGTTTTGACAAAAGATCCAGGACAATTGTAGCCCGCGCTGCGTTCTTCGAAATTGACCGTTGGCATATGCACACATACACGATACAGCTCACCTGTGGGAAAGCGGTCGACTGACGGACGTGTGCGTCACCAGGTGAATTGTCTTTTGGGAGCTGACAGTCTCGCCCTTCGTGCGCACACGATCTTTCGATCGGCCGCCACCATCTCTCCCCATACAGTCATGTCCGAGTGTAAGAGGAAATAAAGGAAAAAAAAAGAGAGAAAAAACCAGAGCGCCCGCTTGCCGTTCTCGACTGCGCAGTATTTTCTAAAGAAAGAACTTGCAAACAAGCTCAACGATACAGGCGCATTTTCGGCGGCGAGAGGAATCATCGATATCGCCGAACTTGATGTACTTTTGTCAGAATTGTCAGATAAACTCTTAAAGAGTTGGAATGAGAAAAGAGAAGGTCAAAGAGGTTTAACAACGCCTGTCTGAAGAATTCGCCGCTTTCGCCCTCGGAACTGCATCTGTATACATCCCTCGAAGTACACCGGAAACACAACAGTCGTCTCGACGTCGTCGGAGACGGCGGAAGGACGGAACGAGATGCGGTTACAAACGTGGAAGTTGCAATTTTTCTGGCTGGAAACTCGCGTCGCTACAAAAAAAGAAAAATAAAAGAAGAAAAGAACCGATGAAAAGTA